AATATTAAAAATTTTAAAAGCACATGAGTGTAGAAATGTGAGTCTCACACGTGAAAATTTTGATAAAAATTTTAATAGCAATTTTGAAATCTCGGCAATTGAAAATTTGATTCTCCTTTCAACACATCAAATAATTCCAAACCTAACCCCACCATTCCCAACCCCCTCTCAGCTACCACCATCCTCGACCATCTGTCGTCGCTGCTCACCTCCTCACCATTTGCAACTGGACCACCACCATTACCGCCTCCTACACGTCTCCACCCCTCCCCTTCCCGCCGTTCGTCACCACCCCATACTTTTTATCTCAAAAATTACTCTACAAACCAAACACATCCAAAATATCTATAACTATATCTCAAAAATTAGATTGAACATTTCATTACTCAAAACACCTCATCACCAAATTGAAAACAAAAATATTAAAAAATTTAAAAGCACATGAGTGTAGAAATGTGAGTCTCACACGTGAAAATTTTGATAAAAATTTTAATAGCAATTTTGAAATCTCGGCAATTGAAAATTTGATTCTCCTTTCAACACACCAAATAATTCCAAACCTAACCCCACCATTCCCAACCCCCTCTCAGTTACCTCCATCCTCGACCATCTGTCGCCGCTGCTCACCTCCTCACCATTTGCAACTGGACCACCACCATTACCGCCTCCTACACGTCTCCACTCCTCCCCTTCCCGCCGTTCGCCACCACCCCTTTCTTTTCTTCTCTTTTCCCGCTGTTCGCCACTGCCCCATTCCTCCTCTCCTCTCCCCTTCCACCGTCTACCACCTCTCCCATTCTTCTTCTTCTTCTTCTTCTTCTTCTTCCTACTAAACCCTAGATCTAAGGTTTGAGAGGATAAAGAAGAATGCGAGAAGGTTCGCAATAGGTAGAAGATGAGAAGGAGGTTGGTTCACGGTAAGGAGAGGGCTTGGGTTGTGGCATCATTCGTAGGGAGATTCGCAGCAGGAGAAGGACTCGCGGAAGAGAAGGCAGTAGCAAGTTATGACCAGGGGAAAAAGATATGGTGATGGTGACGACGAAAAGAGGAGGTAGCGGCTGCAACGGTGGAAAGAGGAGATAGCCATGGAGAGGATGACTGAAAGGGCGGCAAGAAGGGTTGGCCGGAGTTGATTTGGTCTCGTCGAAGCTAACTTTTGTTAGTTGGAGTAAGGGTTTGTTTTTGGCTCTTTCAGTAATTTTGTATAAGGGCAAAATAGTAACTTTATTTTTTTTTTGGCAAAATTCATTTTACCTCCATGTGATATGGGAAATTCTATTTCTACCCGCATGATAAATTCAGAGAAAACACTTAATGAAAAATTAACTTAATAACAATTATATCCTAATTAAAAATTACAATAATAGACATCTATCAACACCCTTAATATTATATACATAAATTCTCTATACACATCTTTTATGACAAAAAATATGTCAATATACACCTTTTAAATGAAAGCAATTAAACCCTAATTTTTTTATTGTGATCACTTTGCTTGTTATACACTCTATATTCCTTTGTTACTTGTAAAGAGCAATACTCTCAAAACATCTCTTATATGACTTTTTAATCTCTAGGTTTATACTCGATTATTATATCATTTAATTATTAGTTTAACAATTTTTACTTGATTTTAATATGAAAGAGTTGACAACCTATGGAAGTTCAAACTCAAGCAATGGTGACAGCAAAATCAGTGATGAAAAGGTAAAATCGTGTAGTAATTTTTTTATTTTTTTGTGTTTTTTTAGTCGAAGACTCAGTGCTGAATTTTATCAATTAATTCGGAAATCATTTGCCGAAATAACATTAATATTTCGATACAAAAGTTCCGAATTTTTTTATATATTTCGACACTTTAATTCTGAGTTTTTAATTTATTTCGGTTTTTAAGTGCCAAATATAATTAATTTTTTCGACTATATAGTGTCGAAATTGTTTATTATTTTTGTTTTTTTAGTGCTAAATTTTTTTATTTATTTCGGCTCTGTAAAATTGAATGAAAATTTTCCCTCCTCCTTTTTAGATGGCATGCACTGAAGAACTTGAGGTTCGATCGGATATTATGGTAGATTGTACTAGTCATTTTACAGCTAAACAGGTAACTTTTAACGTAAAATTTCATAATTTGTATTAGTTAGTTTGTTTAGTCTTATGAAACTTGTGTAACATTATATATAAGTTTTCGGTAACAAAGATGAATTGCTCACTTGGACACGTGACACTGGAAGGATAAATGGCTTTGTTATTATTATAAGGACGTCGGACTATGATGACGGTCGAAAGAGACCAAGAATTTATCTTGCTTGTGAGCGGAGTGGGAAATATAGATTGCGTAAAAAGTTGAAAGATGGCTAAAAAGACTTATTGAGACAAATTGGTACGAAGAAGTGCAAATGTCCATTTGATTTGAAGGCATTCAAGTTGAAAACAAACAATGAATGGATATTGAATGTAGTTTGCGAGCTGCATAATCATCTAGTTGCGGAGCATCTCCAAGGACATTCATATGTATGGAGATTATCAACTAATGAAAAGTCACTGTTAGTAGATATGTCAAAGAGCCTAGTAAGACCAAAAGAGATACTCATTACACTAAAACACTTTAGGCAACCGTGGTAGAACGTAACTGGGTGATACGGATGGACATCTCTGCAACTCTGGTACAAGTCCCAAATAACCTACAAACAATAACCACTGTAAGATATGACAACTATAAATTTTGTATGATATAGAGTTTCAAATTTTGAAGGACTTTTTAACTTACATCATGTACACCCAACATATCAAGCTCCTCTCGAAAAGCCTGCAATTGTGCCTTTTCGCCAGACTCTCTCCGAGAAGTCCAACGGTAAACATGTGGCATATCTCGAGTGTAATTCATATTCAAGTGTGGTCGGAATCTACGAAAGTGTTCATAAATCCATCCCTCAAGAAGTGTCATGTAACCGGCTATTTGTTTCACCCCGGACTTGCTAGTGTACCCCATCTGTCTATATAAGTATGCCAATGCAGCAGCACCCCCCAAAGCATATGAATATATAGTCATCAAATCGGACAACAAACTCAAATAAACAACGGGGACCCTAGTTCTAGTCTTGTCACTGAAAAGTGTACAACCCAACAAAAATAGCAAGTATGCTCTACCTGCACATGCAATTCTTTCCATTGAATCATTGTCTGTGACATTATGAAAGTGTGCCCTCAACCACTCAAGCATCACTGAATTGCCTTCAGCATTACACATCTCATGTTTGACCTTTTGCTCATCAATTTTCAAGGTATTAACTACTAATGCAATGGCCCGCCTTTCTGACAACTTACGCACACTAATAGATTTGCCTACAATGGGAAGCCCTAGGATAGTGGCGACATTGTCCAATGTGATAGTCATCTCTCCAACAGTCAAATGTAAGGTGTTTGTCTCCGGTTACCATCTCTCAACAAAACTGGAAACTACAATTTTGTTGATAAAGCAGTACGTGCAATGAGCTAATTGTGCAAGTCCTAACATCTCCACAATGTTTACAAATATAGCGTTGTTGCCTTATTTCCACTACGCCCATGATCGAATCTTACTCAAGTGATTATGATACTTCAAGGCCCACATTTCATCAGCACCATTCCAAATAGCTGCGACAACATGACTTTTAAAACTTTTAAGGATTGATTAATTAGTTGGCCCTCCCGAAAATGGCTCAATAAGGATACTCAACAAACTGGAAACTACAATTTTGTTGATAAAGCAGTACGTGCAATGAGCTAATTGTGCAAGTCCTAACATCTCCACAGTGTTTACTTTTAAACTTTTAAGAATTAATGGATCAGTTGGCCCTCTCAGAAATGGCTGAGTAAGGATATATTCATCAACAATGTCAGTATCATCGTCGTAGGGTCATCATCCATAGCAATATCATTCATAACTGGTGCATCATGTATAAAATCACCATCCATGGCAATGTGCGTGTCATCATCATGCACTCGAGCACGTCCATGTCCACGTCTCTCTAATTCATGGAGTTTTCTGTTCAAAGCTATTACTGACCAACGTTCACTGGGACCAGCATCCATCTGCATAAGGAAAGTTGTTCTCATCAACCCAATAAAATGAAACAGAATAAGCATTCTCAAAAAAGGATCACATCAATGCGAGTGATAAATAGCCTAACCATGCCACCTTAATGAAATCTAATACGTAATTATAGACCATTAAATTCACAATTTGGATGATGTGAAATTAACAAAATAAATTAAATACATAACCCTACTACTTATGAAAGATTGAGACTAAGATTTGTTGAAAAATTACAATGTAAACATGGATATAGCAAAACTATTTGTATTCTATACAGACCATTCACCAATTAGTTTGGTTGATGTTCACAACATGCGAAAAATAGATTAACTTCATTTCGGCCAATTTAACAAGGCAACATGGTCATTAATCAATACCAACATCATTTTTCAAACAATCAAAGGACTACCCATCACTTGTCTTTATACATGCCATTGATTGTAAATTTGTTGTAGTTGTAAGTATACAACCAAAGACTAAATTTGATACCAATTTCAATGCTTTGAAAAGACAAACCTTAAAGGCAAAATAACTCAAGCTTTAAAGGACAAACCTTAATGACAATGCTGCCTTGGTAAATTCGCCGAAATGAAGTAAATCTGTTTTTCGCATGTTGTGAACATCAACCAAACTAATTGGTGAATGATCTGTATAGAATACAAATAGTTTTGCTATATCCATGTTTACATTGTAATTTTTCAACAAATCGTAGTCTCAATCTTTCATAAGTAGTAGGGTTATGTATTTAACTTATTTTGTTAATTTCACATCAACCAAATTGTGAATTTAATGGTCTATAACTGTGTATTAGATTTCATTGTATGGTTAGGCTACTTATTACCCGCATTGATGTGATCCTTTTCTGGGAGTGCTTATTCTGTTTCATTATATCGGGTTGATGAGAACAACTTTCCCTATGCAGATGGATGTCGGTCCTAGTGAACGTTGGTTAGTAACAGCTTCGAACAGAAGACTCCGTGAATTAGAGAGATGTGGACGTGCTCAAGTGCATGATGATGACACGCACATTGCCATGGATGATGATCCTATACGTGATGCACCAGTTATGGATGATATTGCTATAGATGATGACCCTACTGGTGATGATGTTGACATTGTTGATGAAGATATCCTTACTCAGCCATTTCCGGGAGGCCAACTGATCCAGCAATCCTTAAAAGTCATGTTGTCGCAACTATTTGGAATGGTGCTGATGAAAGAGGGCCCTTGAAGTGTCATAATCACTCGTCTAAGATTCGTTCGTGGCTGTGGTGGGAACAAGGAAACAACGCTACATTTGTAAACATTGTGGAGATGTCAGGACTTGCACAATTAGCTCGTTGCACGTACCGCTTTGTCAACAAAATTGTAGTGTCCAGTTTTGTTGAGAGATGGCAACCGGAGACAAACACCTTCCATTTGACTGTTGGAGAGATGACTATCACATTGGACGATGTCGCCACTATCCTAAGGCTTCCCATTGTAGGCAAATCTATTAGTGTGCGTAAGTTGTCAGAAAGGCGGGCCATTGCATTAGTAGTTAATACCTTGGAAATTGATGAGCAAGAGGTCAGACATAAGATGTGTAGTGCTAGAGGCAATTCAGTGAGGCTCGAGTGGTTGAGGGCACACTTTCATAATATCACAGATAATGATTCAATGGAAAGAATTGCATATGCAGGTAGAGCATGCTTGCTATTTTTGTTGGGTTGTACACTTTTCAGTGACAAGACTGGTACTAGGGTCTCCGTTGTTTATTTGAGTTTGTTGTCCGATTTGACGACTGTATCTTCATATACTTGGGATGCTGCTGCATTAGCATACTTATATAGACAGAAGGGGTATGCTAGTAGGTCCGACGTGAAACAAATAACCGGTTACATGACACTCCTTGAGGGATGGATTTATGAGCACTTTCGTGGATTCCGACCACACTTGAATATGAATTACACTCGAGACATGTCACATGTTTACCATTGGACTTCTCGGAGAGAGTCTCGTGAAGAGACACAGTTACAGGCTTTTTGAAAGGAGCTTGATAGATTGGGTGCACATGATGTAAGTTAAAAAGTCTTTCAAAATTTGCAACTCTGTATCATACAAAATTTACAGTTGTTATTGTTTGTAGGTTATTTGGGACCTGTACTAGAGTTGCAGAGATGTCCATCCGTGTCACCCAGTTACATTCTACCACGGTTGCCAAAAGTGTTTGAGTGTAATGAGTATCTCTTTTAGTCTTACTAGGCTCTTTGACATATCTACTAACAACGACTTTTCATTACCTGACAATCTCCCTACATATGAATGTCCTTAGAGATGCTCCATAGCTGGATGATTATGCAGCCCGCAAACTGCATTCAATGTCCATTCATAATTTGTTTTCAATTTGAATGCCCTCAAATCAAATGGACATTCGCACTTCTTCGTACCAGTTTGTCTCAATAAGTCTTTTGAGTCATCTTTCAATTTTTTACGCAATCTATACTTCTCACTCCGCTCACAAACAAGATAAATTCTTGGTCTCTTATAACCACCATCATAGTCCGACGTCCTTATAATAATAACAAAACCATTTATCCTTCCAATGTCACGTACCCAAGTGAACAATTCATCTTTGTTATCGAAAACCTATATATAATGTCACACAACTTTCATAAGAATAAACTAAACAAACTAACCAATACAAATTATGAACTTACAAATTTTATGTTAAAAGTTACATGTTTAGCTGTAAAATGACTAGTACAATCCACCATAATATCTGATCGAACCTCAGGTTTTTCAGTGCATGCCATCTAAAAAGGAGGGGGAAAAAATTTCATTCGGTTTTACAGAGCCGAAATAAATAAAAAAATTCGGCACTAAAAAAACGAAAATAATAAACAATTTTGGCACTATATAGCCGAAAAAATTAATTATATTCGGCACTTAAAAACCGAAATAAATTAAAAACTCAAAATTAAAGTGTCGAAATATATAAAAAAATTCGGAACTTTTGTATCAAAATATTAATGTTATTTCGGCAAATGATTTCCGAATTAACTGATAAAATTCGACACTGAGTCTCCGACTAAAAAAATGCAAAAAAAAAACAAAAAAATTTACTACACGATTTTAGCTTTTCATCATTTTGCTGTCACCATTGCTTGAGTTTGAAGTTCCATATATTGTCAACTCTTCCATATCAAAATCAAATAAAAATTGTTGAACTAATAATTATATGATATAAATAATCAAGTATAAACTTAGAGATTAAAGCAATATGAGAGATGTTTTGAGAGTATTGCACTTTGCAAGTAACAGAGGAGTACAGAGTGTGTAACAAGCAAAGTGACCACAATAGAAAAATTAGGATTTAATTGTTTTCATTCAAAAGGTGTATATTGAGATATTTTTGCTCCTAAAAGATGTGTATAAAAAATTTATGTATATAATATTAGGGGTGTTGATAGATGTCTATTATAGTAATTTTTAATTTGGATATAATTGCCATTAAGTTAATTTTTCATTAAGTGTATTCGCGAAATTCTATTTCCAGCACCCTAATAAACTCAGTGGACACACTTAATGAAAAATTAGATTAATGACAATTATATCCTAATTAAAAATTATTATAATAGACATTGATCTACACTCCTAATAATATATATACAAATTCTCTATACACATCTTTTAGAAATAAAAATATCTCAATACACTTTTTGAAACAAAAAACTTAAACCCTAATTTTTTTTTTATAGTCACTTTGCTTTTTACACACTCTGCACTCATCTTTGTTATTTGCAAGCAAAACATCTCCTCTATTACTTTAATCTTTAAGTTTATACTCAATTATTAACATCATTTAATTATTAGTTCAACAATTTTTATTTGATTTTGATCAACACTCTTAATAATTTTTTTTTTTTTTTTTGCGTTTTTTAGTCGGAAACGCAGTGCCGAATTTGTTAAATTAATTCGGTTATCAAATACCGAAAAAATATGAATAGTTCGTCATTAGAACTATTCGGTCTTAGAGTTCTGAACAAAATTAATATTTTCGGCACTAGAATACCGAATTTTGTTATTATTTTCGGTTTTTATTATCCGAATTATTTTACTTACTTCGGTTCTGTAGAACCGAATTGAAATTTTCCCCGGGGAAGAACCTAGGAAAGGTGGGCTGAAGTCAATTAAAGAGGGTAGTGGCGACATCATCAAGAATATTTCCAAGATATTTTTGCACTGAAGAACCTAGTCAATTTATATAATTGGGGCACCGTCTTCTTCCCTCATGTTTGAAGAACCTAGTCAATTTATAATTTTGGGGCATCGTCTTCTTCAAGAAATAGGATGATGATGGTGAAGATATTTTTGCTTTAATCCTGTTTGATTTTCTTCTTCCGTCCTGTTTGAAGTAGAATTGTAAATTGGGATAAATTAAAGTGTATGTATTTTGAGGGTAAAGTGTGTGTATATATGAGTGAAGGATTTATTTATAATTTTAAGGATGTGGATTGAGATAATTACTTAATAATTAAATTAATAGAGATGTGTATTGAGAAAAGATTTGCCCTGAGTTTATTAGGGTGGTGGAAATAGAATTTCCCAGTGTATTCCTTGAGTTTATCAGGTAAGTGGAAATAGAATTTCCCATATACCCCCCATGTAATTTTACTATTAATGTTAACAATAAAAAGACAATTATATCCTTTATGTGTTCTTCTATTTTTGGCTCTCTTTGCAAATAAATAAATAAATTTACCTCTATAACTAAGCAAAAAAATTGAAACATAACACAACTAATTTAAGAAATTAGGGTTTTCTAATATTTTTTTTAATAAACTTAATTTTTAATTTTAATTAATTTATGATTTAATTTGTTATATATATACATGTTCAATTTAAAATATTATTAAATAATAAATTGTGTTAAAATTAGAAATTAGAAATTAAATTAAGATATTTTTAAAATTTAATTTGTTTTATATATGTGTGTGTGTGTGTGTGTGTGTATGTTGATGTTTAAAATGTTATTAAATAAAAATTTGGGGTAAAAAAAAAAATTAGATTTAAATAGTTTGTTGATTAATTTTTATAATAATAAATGAAGGATTTAGGTTAATTTAATATTATATATATATATATAATATGAATGTTTAATTTAAAATGTTATTAAATAATAAATTTAGATTAAAAAAAAAATGTAAACAAGGTTAGTTTGATTTTATTACATTGAAATTTAACTTTGACTTACCTTTTTTTTTTTCCTTTCCCACTCTCAAAATAGGCATGTGAGACCCTCCTTATTT